GGGGAGTGAGTAATGATACAATGTGGTATTTTGACAGCTGCCAGACCCTGACTCAGTACATTTAGAAGTCCACGCACTCACACACACAACACAAGCTTGCTGAAGATAATAGCAGTTATATGAAAGTGTCAAGTGACTATAAGTGTATATATATTATAGAAACCAGAAGGAAGGAAGGAAGGAAAGAATGAAGAAGGAAAGAATGAAGAAAGAAAGGTAGGTAGGTAGGAAGGAATGATGGCAAATTTACCTAGGATTTGGAAAAGGCGTATGACAGGGTGGATAGGGGGGCAATGTGGCAGATGTTGCAGGTGTATGGTGTTGGAGGTAGGTTACTGAAAGCAGTGAAGAGTTTTTACGAGGATAGTGAGGCTCAAGTTAGAGTATGTAGGAAAGAGGGAGATTATTTCCCAGTAAAAGTTGGCCTTAGACAAGGATGTGTGATGTCACCGTGGTTGTTTAATATATTTATAGATAGGGTTGTAAGAGAAGTAAATGCGAGGGTCTTGGCAAGAGGCATGGAGTTAAAAGATAAAGAATCACACAAAGTGGGAGTTGTCACAGTTGCTCTTTGCTGATGACACTGTGCTCTTGGGAGATTCTGAAGAGAAGCTGCAGAGGTTGGTGAATGAATTTGGTAGGGTATGCAAAAGAAGAAAATTAAAAGTGAATACAGGAAAGAGTAAGGTTATGAGGATAACAAAAAGATTAGGTGATGAAAGATTGGATATCAGATTGGAGGGAGAGAGTATGGAGGAGGTGAATGTATTCAGATATTTGGGAGTGGACGTGTCAGCAGATGGGTCTACGAAAGATGAGGTGAATCGTAGAACTGATGAGGGGAAAAGGGTGAGCGGTGCACTTAGGAGTCTGTGGAGATAAAGAACTTTGTCCTTGGAAGCAAAGAGGGGAATGTATGAGAGTATAGTTTTACCAACGCTCCTGTATGGGTGTGAAGCATGGGTGATGAATGTTGCAGCGAGGAGAAGGCTGGAGGCAGTGGAGATGTCATGTCTGAGGGCAATGTGTGGTGTGAATATAATGCAGAGAATTCGTAGTTTGGAAGTTAGGAGGAGGTGCGGGATTACCAAAACTGTTGTCCAGAGGGCTGAGGAAGGGTTGTTGAGGTGGTTCGGACATGTAGAGAGAATGGAGCGAAACAGAATGACTTCAAGAGTGTATCAGTCTGTAGTGGAAGGAAGGCGGGGTAGGGGTCGGCCTAGGAAAGGTTGGAGGGATGGGGTAAAGGAGGTTTTGTGTGCAAGGGGCTTGGACTTCCTGCAGGCATGCGTGAGCGTGTTTGATAGGAGTGAATGGAGACAAATGGATTTTAATACTTGACGTGCTGTTGGAGTGTGAGCAAAGTAACATTTATGAAGGGATTCAAGGAAACCGGCAGGCTGGACTTGAGTCCTGGAGATGGGAAGTACAGTGCCTGCACTCTGAAGGAGGGGTGTTAATGTTGCAGTTTAAAAACTGTAGTGTAAAGCACCCTTCTGGCAAGACAGTGATGGAGTGAATGATGGTGAAAGTTTTTCTTTTTCGGGCCACCCTGCCTTGGTGGGAATCGGCCAGTGTGTTAATAATAAAAAAAATAACTACCTAACACAACTGTCTGCTACTACCATGAAGAAAACTGCTCAGATGAGGTGTTTTGTCTGGGCACATAAAAAAAAGCCCACAAAAATGTTTTATGTGTGAAGAGTGTAAAATACCATTGTGTATGAAACCATGTTTCAAAGAGCTCCACAAGCTGCGCCCCCCCCTCAAGGAAGGTTCCTTGATGTTGGTGAGGGGCTCTTGATTTAGGGAATTGGATCTGTGCTCCAGTTCCCCGAATTAAGCCTGAATGCCTTCCACATCCCCCCCCCAGGCGCTGTATAATCTTCCGGGTTTAGCGCTTCCCCCTTGATTATAATAATAATAATCCACAAGCTGCGGAACTTCTAGGAACATGTCCATTAACTTCACATTTGTATAGAACCATAGTAATAAACAATTTTTTGTATTGTTTGTGTAAACAAGTTTTGTAAACAATATACAGTGGACCCCCGACATTCGATAAATCCGACATTCAATGCATTTTAACGCAAAAATTTCGCCTCATTCGATGGAAAACCCGACATTCAATACGATTCGTACAAGACATGTCCACGTGTGGCCTGAACTGCACCGTGTGTGCCAGTGTTTACAAGCCAGCCAGTGTGCGCGCATCTAAGGATACATTTGGGACATTCCATATTATCACTGTTTTTGGTCCTTGTTTCTGCAAAGTAAGTAACCATGGGCCCCAAGAAAGCTTCTAGTGCCAACCCTTCGAGAAAAAAGGTGCTAATGACTATTGAAATAAAGAAAGAGATAATTGCAAAGTACGAAAGTGGAGTGCATGTGTCGGAGTGCATGATGATTTGGTAAAGAAATTGCCTGCAACTAGTGGTGATGTGAGTGAATTTAAGGCCAGCAAAGGTTGGTTTGAAAGATATAAGAATCGTAGTGGCATACACAGTGTGGTAAGGCATGGTGAGGCTGCCAGTTCAAGTCCTAATGGAAGGGGATTCCCCTTCTAAACACTAACACCATCCACACTCTCCCCTCCTCCCATCCCATCAATCATCACCAGATCTTTATTAAAGGTAAGTGTCAATTATTCTATTGTTATTAATCTATTGTTATTGTTGTTATTGTAATTATTCTATTGCATTAAACTTAATATTTCATGTGGTATATTTTCTTTTTCATACTTTTGCGTGTCTTGCACGGATTAATTTGATTTCCATTATTTCTTATGGGGAAAATTAATGCGACTTTCGATATTTTCGACATTCGATAGCTCTCAGGAACGGATTAGTATAGAATGTCGAGGGTCCACTGTATTGATAATTATGTTTGTGCGCTTATTGTGTTGTATACAATGAGTGTATATATGAACATTGCACCTTACCTTGGTCTCACAGGCCACATAAGTTACCTGAAAAAATAAAGTAGTGGAAAAAGCAAGATACCTTCGAATGGGAGTAAAAAAAAGTTTACCAGGTGAGCGGCATTCGCCGCTGTTGCATTATGTGGCTCATTTTCTGCCAACTTTATGCCTCTATATCTCGGTAAGTAATGATCACAAAAAAAATTTTTAGGCTTAAAACATTCAGCTAAATAATCCTAACATTTTGGTAAGAAAAAAATAATTTTTTTATTTTTCAAATATTTATCGACATAGAATGACAGTTTCAGAAATGGGCTGGAGACAGTCAAAGGGTTAATGTCTGGAGGATTTTGTGTGTATATTTGACTGACTTGTTAATTAGTGTCAGTCTAGTCACCTAAAGCCCACCAGCCTCTCCACATTGCTCTATTAAATAAATGGTGAACACCTCCACAGGTGGCTATCAGTATTACACCTAGTTGATGTCCTTAATGACACATGGTTAGTGGTTCATTACTAGGCTCATTGTTCCAGTCTAACTGGTCACTGAATGAAGTCTGGGCTGTGCATGGACAGTGCATGGAAAATAATACTTGACTAGCTCAAAGAGATTATTTTTCACCTCACTTGCCTTTTACCAATAGTGTATCAGTCAGGTTCCTACCTACCTTGCACACAATTATGGACTGTGATCTGCTTAATAAACAAAGAGAGAACTTTCACCTGACCCCTCAGGTGTAATAACTGTACTTAAGGATTTGAAAGTTTTGGACTTGTGGCGAGAACAAAGCAGGACACCTACTTATGTCCTGCTAAAAGGTGAACGATAGTCATATCTGAATGGCGTCCATCATCATAGCTAATACTCACTCCAGTTAAACAATTCACTGGCAGTATCCTCAAAGTTACCGTCCATTTCCAAGAGTGTGGACCCCAGCTTAAGTCAAGAAAGTCCACTAATAACACTTAAATGAATTTTGGTACTCTCCCATAAACGTTGCTACCTGGAGGGTATTCCAAGGGTCACCCCCAAGGCTGGTACATGACCAGGCCTCCTGTTACTGCTGACCACATGCAGTCCAATGTACAAACCACAGCCCGGATGGTCAGGAACATACTTTAATCGGAACCTATCCAGTTCCCTCTTGAAGACAACTAAGGGTCTACTGGCAAATCCCTTATATATGATGGGAGGCTGATGAATAGTTGAATAGATGTTAGAGGTACACATCAAATTAAGGGGTCCCCAGCTCTCTTTTTCTCACATCAGTAAAGGTACACATTGTGATGCATATCCTATTTAGCATATAGCCAAAGACTATCAACTTCAGGCAATGTTGCCAACTATTGGCAATATAGAGGGCTAATTTAGCACTCTCGTGTCAGGACATCAGTAACAATGACATTTATGAAATTTGTCACATTCCTGAGACTTTATTGACAAATAGGTCTCATTTCTAATACAATCAGTCCACCTATTATCACTATCATGCAGGAGTCACATATGTCTATGGTGCATCCAACAAAATAAGCACTCTTGGATGTCACTACCGCCCGGCTCCGGCTGGGTTACCAGTATCTCTGGGAGGTTAAATCACCACTACCAGATGATGCAGACCAAACTAAATATATCTGGCAGATGGACAACTGTCACACTTAGCATTATTATGTGCTGGAATGTGATCAAATAAATGTATTCAGAGACAACTCACTCAGAAATGTTCAAGAAATGTCAAAGTATTTTATCCACAGTGGTATATTACCAGCCATTCTGGAAAAATACCCTTTGCCCACAGTAAATAATGCATTAAGCATACCTTGCTAAAATATAAGGTAATATTTCTGTAATATAAAAATTTCCCATATCTGCGATATATGGGAAATTTTAAAATTATTTATATTAGAATATCATTGCTGAACTATATTTACCTTTCAACAGGAATATAAAAAAAAAACCTATGGCATCTAAATACGGCCAGTCTTTTGTGGATACATTGTAGTTCACATTCTTGATTCAAAAATTTCCTAAGATTTACTGTACTACACTGGATGATACTAGCATTTTTTATTATATGTTTACCTTGACACTTCCCTTGAAAGTCCTGAAGGCACCACCTGTACCCTTCATTATCTGATGTCGCACACTCTGGTTGAACTTGAAGGCAAAAGTCTCATGATCATCTCCAGGGCCCTGGTGCCTTGCACTGCCAATATGAACTTAATTAGCTTGAAAATTACATTCTTATATTACTGGCAAATTTATTTTGAATTAACCTTAATGTATAAAACATCCCTAAATACAATTTTGAAGTTATATAATATGTAGAGTTTAGATTAATGACACTAATTTCAGACTCTCCAAGAAAGGTGCCTTGAAGCTGAGGAAAGGCTCGTAATCTCTTCTCTTCCTTGGATCAACCATGATTACCTGTCACCCCTCCCATTCCCCCCATGTCCACTAAGGTGCCCCATGGCCTGGTGGCTAAAGCTCTCGCTTCGCATGGCAAGTGTCTGGGTTCGATTCCCAGTGATGGTAGAAACATTGGGTGTTTCTTTACACCGGTTGTCTACTGTAAAACTAATCTACCGTAAAACTATGATATAATTCTTAGTGTTAAGTAGTCAGTAAGCCAATAATGTTAAGTCGGCCCATAATGCCTAGGCATAATAGAGGCTCTCTTTGCATTGCAACCCATTATTGTAAATACATAATCTCAATGTACTATTTGCAAAGACATAAATAAATTAATAAATAAATAAATATTCCCCATCAGTAAAATGGGATCCTGAGAGTTATTTGACTGGTGTGGGTAGCATCCTGGGACAAAACTGCCCTAATTTGCCCAAAACGCTCTGCGTAACAAGCAGCTTTCTATGTAGTAGTATATCATCAATGTCAGCTAGTAATAAAGTTGGTAGAATTACCGACAATATGTAAAGTAAAAGGACACAAGTGCAACTAATGTGACATTTTATTGTGGCAACGTTTCGCTCTCCAGGAGCTTTATCAAGCCGTTACAAACAGTACATGAACACAGAGGGTATACAGAGGCTCAGAGTGAGAAGCAATACTTAAACATTCAGGCAACCTTCTCAACCGCATCCGAAACCTCTCCATCCGAAACAAGAAACTAAGCAGTTTGGACGTGACTTCCCTCTTCACAAAAGTACCTACCACAAAAGCCATCGAGGTTCTACGACGTAAAGTCAATCAGGACCTTAATCTTCCTCTACCTCCCGGAGATTTTGTTGACTTGATTGAACTCTGTTAATTTCAACTGTTTTTCTTTCAATAACAGGCTCTACAAACAAACCTACGGCATGGGAATAGGGTCCCCCATCAGTGTCGTCCTAGCCAACTTGTACATGGAATACCTAGAGTCCAAACACTCCGCCAACATCATCCCTTCAAGTGTCACTTGGTTACGTTATGTGGACGATGTCCTCGTAATAACACCCAAACGTTTTGACGTACGGAACCTACAGGCAAGGCTCAACGCAGTTGAGCCGACGATCCAGTTTACACTAGAAGAAGAATCCAATGACAAGCTACCTTTCCTCGACGTCCTCATTCACAAAGTAGACAACAGCCTAAGATTTCAAGTTTATCGGAAACCTACCAATAAAAACAATCTCACACACTTCTATCCAGTCAAGATACTAGGACCAAAAGAGGCATCATCATTGGGTTTTTCCTAAGAGCATACCGAATTTGTAGTCCTGAGTTTCTTAATGTACATACATGTACATACATGTATGTACATACATTCACCGAACCTTCACAGATTTACATTTTCCTTCCTTTTTCATCAAAGACTGCAAGAAAAGAGCCCTTCAGATCATTAATTCTCCACACACCAACACCACTCCCAACAAAGTTATAATTCTTCCCAACAGCCAGGTTGCACTAAACGTTTCTAAAGTACTTTCACAAGCTAACACCAGAGTCGCCATCGCTTCCAGCGCTTTGATAAAGGATCTAACCAGAACAAAATCCAAGCACCACAAACCAATCAACGCAGGAGTTTACACTATACCGTGGAGGCTGCGACAAGATTTACGTAGGTGAAACAGCAAGAAACCTCAACACCCGCCTCAATGAACACATTTATGCATGTAGGAACGATAACTTGAACAACGCCTGTGTACAACACCGAAATTCCACCAATCATCTCATGAAGTTCAGGGAAGCCCAACTAGTGATCAAAGAAACTAATTTCCGCAGACGTAAGTGCCTTGAATCTTCACTAATAGCTGTTTCTAATACAATTAACCCTTAAACGGTCCAAACGTATATATACGTTTTTTCAACATCTGAAAGTATGTAAAAAAATGTAGATCTTTTTTTTGTTTTACATGTGAAAACGTGTAAAAAAACTTTTATCTACATTTTTTTTTTGTTATACATATTTGAAAATATGTAAAAAAAAAGTAGATCTACTTTTGTAGCACTACGAATTTGAACGTCGATCTGTTTGGACCGTTTAAGGGTTAAACAAAACAAAGGCAGCTTCACCATCTCTGAAGTCTTAGCAAGAATCCTCCTGAAAACAGTAAATCCTGCCATCATATAGTCTCTCCTGTTAATACTACACAAGCACATCACAGAGAATGAACATTGAAACAGGCTGCCTCTATCCAGCCTCCAATAGAAATATTTGTCTAACCAATTTTTATGTTTCCCAAGTGATAGCCTTTACATCATTTACTCATGTGCAAGTTAATTGTTCTACATATTGTATTACTTCTACTACTACTACTACTACTACTGCTACTACTACCACTAGTATTGCACCTCACTCTGAGCCTATATATACCCTCTGTGTCCATGTACTGTTTGTAACGCCTTGATAAAGCTCCTGGAGAGCGAAATGTTGCCACAATAAAATGTCACATTAGTTGCACTTGTGACCTTTTACTTTACATAATGTCAGCTAGGCCTGTATACCTTGTACATATACGTACTTGTAGAAATAAAGATACAGTGGTACCTCGGGATACGAACAGCCCAAAACTCGAACAGTTATGTAAGTGTATTTATGTAAGTGCTTTTGTAAGTGTATTTTTGGGGGTCTGAAACGGATTAATCTAATTTACATTATTCCTTATGGGAACAAATTTGTTCGGTATCGGCACTTAAACAGCCTTCTGGAACGAAATAAATTCGTATCCCGAGGTACCGCTGTATTATTATTATTATGTACTATATGACCAATATGGGCTTAGTGCTTCTTCACAAATGTTATAATATGCCATATACAGGGAAAGATTTCTGAACTAAAGCTCAGAGCTTTGATAGAAAATAAAGTACACTGTCACGTGATTTCTTGTGAGGTCTGTAATTAAGCAGTTTTATTAATATTACTTAGAGATCACCCAACTAGACAACACTGTTTCCTCAGTGACCTGGTGCAAAATTACCACACCAGGGTAGGAAGGTTAGGAATCCTCTTGCGTGAATTAGATTTGTGATACGTACATGAAACTTAACAGAATAACCCTAAGAATTATATATTTCACACAGTTCATTGTTTATTCTAAATGATTCAGAATTGGAAAAAAATCAAGTAGACTAATCCCACATCCCTGTGTTAGGTAAACCACCTGTGCACATGTTCTCTACTGTCACCCAGGCCAGGCAACCAGGTAACAAAAATTACCATATAAATTGTATGGTCATTTAGAAAGACATGGAGTGGGACAGGCTGACCAGGGAGGTGCACAAATCTGGGGTTAATGGATGGAAGGAAGGGTAAGGGGGTTTTGAATGATAGGGGCTTGAGCATCCAACAGGAATAACACACAAATAACCCACACATAGGAGAGAGGAGCTTACGACAACGTTTTGGTCCGACTTGGACCATTTACAAAGTCACAGTGTGACCGAAATGTCATTGTAAGCTCCTCTCTTCTATGTGCGGGTTATTTGTGTACTGTTCCAGTCACGGTATTGTGCCTTTTTTTGTTATTTATCCAACAGGAATTTGTGAGCATGACAGATCAATATGGAGACAAGTGGCATTTAAGGTTTGTTATATTGTTGGAGTTTGACCAAAGTTTCATTTATGAAGGGATTCAGGGTAACTGGTCAACCAGACTTGAGATCTGGAGGATAGAAGCATAGTGCATGCACTCTGAAGGACAAGTGATGATGCTGTGGGTTGGATAATCATGTGAACTGTGATGTCTGCACACTTTTGGCATATTAGCTGTTGGATAAGTGATGGGGAATGTACAGTGGAACCTTGGTTTACGTGATTAATTCGTTTCAGAAAGTCTGACGAAAACCAAAATGTACAAAAACTGAAGCAATATTTCCCATAAGAAATAATATAAATCCAATTAATCCATTCCAGACACCCAAAATATTAACAAAAAATATATTTTATGGAGAATAACTATAGTTGTACATACAGAAAACAATGAGAAATAAATATAAATGACTAATGAAATGGATAAATGAATATAACATCACTTTTACCTTTATTGAAGACTCTTGTTGGCGTATGGAAGATGGCGAGGAGGGGAGAGGGAGGAGAAGTTATTGTTTGGAAGGGGAGTCCCCTTCCATAAGGACTTCAGGTATTTAGGCCCTATCTGGGGTTACTTCCCTTCTTTGTCTTTTAATGGCACTAGAACCAGCTTGAGAGTCACTGTACCCGTGTCGCACAAAAAGTCTGTCCAGAGAGGTCTGTTTCTGGCGTCTCTTTAAGATTTGCCTAAAATGGGACAAGGCATTATCATTGAACATGTTGCAGACACGGCTTGCGACAGCTTTGTTAGGGTGATATTTCTCCACAAAACTTTGCAACTCACTTCACTTTGCATACATCCTTAATCACTGAAGAAGGCACATTCTCCCCTCTCTCTTCCTCCTCCTCTGAAGCAATTTCCTCAGCTGCAGTCTGTTGCTGTTCCAGTTGAAGGTGTTGCAGCTCTTCAATGGTTAGCTCTTCCCCATGGTTGTCTACCAACTCTTTTTTTTTTTTTTTTTTTTTATTCTATCATGTTTTTCGCCTTCTTTATCAAAGGGCTGGCACTCAGAACTTTCTTTGACCCCATGGTGGCTTATTTAGCAGTTGCACTCAATAAACAAGCTCGAAAAACAATGGATTATTATGAAATGTTTCAGATGAATTCCAGGGTTAATACTCACTTGATGAGAACCAAAGCCAGACTGAGTAAATCATACCACGAGTTGAGCCAGACTGAGTCAAAAAATGTGGGATGCTTTGTGTGGGCATGGGCAGGCAGATGCATTTGGTACTGTGGACCACTGTCAACTCAACGAAAACCAAGCGGATGAACGAAAACTGGGACAAAATTTTGACAGTCGTCGAAAACCGAATTCGACAAAACTCAGGGAAAATGCAAGATGAGGTTCCACTTTATTTCCTATTTTGGGTAACCCATCCTTGATGGAAACAGCTAACAGGATTTAAAAGAATGACACAGGAGATATCGGGCAATGGGATCACATAAAACCTAGTATTACTACCTGCTGGGTGCTACTCTGTAAGAACTGTATGGTTGAGTTCAACATGACTTCATTGTCTCATTCAAGCATGCCACCTTTATATCTGATGCCTTCTTCAAATCTCCAGTAAGCTTACTCGTCCTGCTCTCCACTCTGACAATCACACTTTTAATGCAGAATCTCCATGATTTCCTAGCTGTCACTGACTTGCTAAATTAACTGTGACCCATTCATCTTTTTATTGATATCCTTCACTCAATACTGTTTTTATCCTTTTGTGTCCCCATGAGAAGTTCCTTAATGCCAGTGAAGGGCTCTTGATGCAATGAATTGCTCCTGTCTTCTCCTTCCTTGAATCAAACCTGATTGCCCTCTCCTCTTTCCTCAGGCACAGTATAACCCCTTCAGGTTTAGCACTCTCCTCTAAATGTAATATTATTTGTATTTTCACTGTATCTCTTTATTTACAGAATTTAGAAAAGACCACTATACATGTTGTATCATAGAACTTGAATATCCTAAATCCATACAGAATACTATTTACTTTCAGAGTAAAAATAAGTTAATTTTAATGATAAAGAAAATGAAATCCAAAATTATTAGATTTTTTCTCAAATTGATTATACAATAAGAATATCTTAAGAAGAAGTAAAGAGAAATATAATTATACCTTTCTGGTGTAGGACATGGAACTGAATAAGAGTTTTGACTGATCAGAGATTCATATTCTGAACCTTCAGTAACACTGCTTACATTAACAGTCAACTCAGTATTAGTCTTATTGAGGAGCTTTCTTGGGAGGTACTTGACACTGGCCTTAAAGTGGTGTCGGTGTGTCAACTTTCTCATGAGTGCATTGTTCTCTCCACACTCCTCGTCTGCGTCTAGTTCTTCCTCATCCATCATTGGCTTACCTAGAAAAAACAAGAAATAGAAAAGTACGTTTGCAAACAAGACAATCATGTGTATTTTTCCATCCCTGTTTGATATTAAAAATATATATGAAACAAAATTTAATGTTTCTTAAATGGAAATCCTTTTTATAGTACCATTGTTACTCATCTCATTAATGGTTGACTCCGGGGGTTCTGTGAGAGGCGGCCATTGCGGGTTGTCTTGTAACTGAGTTTCCATTTGAATATAAAGCTGATGGGAACCACATTTGTCTTGTAACCATGGCAACACGTACTGCTGCACTACACCATACAACACCCACCTCTAAAACACACAAATTGGGTTTTTATCTTATAAAATCCAAATCATGCCATAGTCAAATATATTACAGCAGCTTAGATATTGTATACCTAGATGAAACTAACACTTTTCCACCTTTTCTTAAACTGATTTACAGTTGAACACTACAGTTCATATGAGGGCCAAAAGTAGTATTCTGAACTTACACACCATACCGTGGGTTCAAACCCCACCCGTGGTAAGAGAGTCGTAAAACTCTAGACCGACGTGTCAGCCACTGGGCCAGCTGGCTACAATAAGATTCATCCAAATAGGTATATTTATACACCATAGGAAGGTTAGCATAGGCACCATTGTGACCACAAATACAAGATTTTACAGACGAATCTCCCGCCAGCGTGGCCATGATGAACTCTAGCTCAAGTTCCCTCAAAGCCATCACATGACTCATGAAACCATAACAACACGATTGCAAACAAACCAGATCATGGGCGGGCTTGAACCTACGGTTTGCAATTGTGTCATTACGATTTTGAGTCATGATGACGGCTTTGAGGGAACTTGAACTAGAGTTCATCATGGCCATGCTGGTGGGAGATTCGTCTGTAAAAACTTGCATTTGTGGTCACAGTGGTGCCTATGCTAACCTTCCTATGGTGTATAAATATACCTAGTTGGATGAATCTTATTGTAGCCAGCTGGCCCAGTGGCTAATGCATTGGTCTGGAGTTTTACAACTCTCTAACAACGGGTTTAAGCCCCGCCTGTGGTATGGTTTGTTTGCAATCGTGTCATTATGTTTTGTAAGTTATTCTGAACTTATGATCAAAACAATGTAACTCAATGAAAGTCTAAAGATAAACCTGAAAGAATAATTTACAAGAGAAGACATCGAAATATAATCATGGGGGAGTGCTAAACCTGTAGGATTATATAGCACACATGGGGAGGGGAGAGGACGGAAGGTATTCAGGTTCAATTCAGGGAACTGGAGCACAGATCCAATTCTGTAGAACAAGCGCTCCTCCCCAGCATCAAGGAACCTCCCTTGAGGGGTATAATCTAGGAGGATTATGTCAATGTCTGAGTACCAACACTCACTTTTTGATTCTTTGATGTATCAAATTTAACCCTTTGATGTTTTGGTTGTATATATCTTCTTATGAGCCATTTTTTTGGGACGATATACAGGGACCCCTGCCTTATATATTAATCTTTTTCCTGAGAGTATCATACCAAATTATCGAAAGGCAAATTTCTTTTCCCCTAAGAAAAAATAAATCAAATTAATCGTGCAAGACACCCAAAATAGAAAAAAACAAAAATTTTACCACATAAAATATTAATTTTAATACACAAAAAACTAAGACATGCCATTAATACTCTGCAAACCTCTTCAAGGGGGGCCCCCTTGGGATGGTAAAGGGGCTCTTGTCTGGGGAATAACCTTCGGTCTCCTTCCTCAGACCGAACCTATTTACCCCCCAAACCCCCCCCTTATCCCATCCTCCCCTTTTTTTCCTTTCCTCCTCCCCCCCCCAAACCCCTCCCTTTTGCCCTTCCTTTTTTGGGCCTTTGGGGTTTTTTTTTTTTTCCCACAGGCCGCTTTTTTCCTAGGAGGGGAAAGGGTACCGGGGTCCATTTTCCCATTCCATTGAGGTTTTGGGTGGGGTAGTTTCCCTGGAATTGGGTTGCCCGGGGATGTCCCGATCCCTCTCTGGTACTCGGAGGGGGGTTTGGTGTCTCTCGGGGACGGGGGGTTATCTCTGGAAGCCCACCTTTTGGATTCCGGGGGTGGGCCGAAGGAGGATGCTTTGTGGCGGATTTTCCGGCCCGCCCCCTTCTTTTTTCCACCGAGGTAGCTCGGCAGATGTGAGGTTTTAACCCAGATTTCCGGGGTTTTCCGGCATGATGGGTAGGGTTGGGATAGGGTTCCCTGCTGCATCGCGCTACTTCGGTGCTGAGGTCCCCCTTGGGCGGGGGGGAATTTTTTGGGCCCCTTTTTTCCTCCAGGAACTACCCCCCCCGGTCCCCCCCTTTTTTTTTTTCTTTTTTTATTTTTATTTTCTTTTCTTTTTTTTTTTTTTTTTAAAAACAAAAAAAAGAAGTAAACCCAACCATGAGCCCTATCCATGAACCTGCTACCCCCGGGCCCCTCTTTATACCACACCCCGTTCTGACCCCCCCTCGTCTTTAGACCCTCTTCGGAACTCCTCAGCCTCTTACCTATTGCCGAGCTGTTTCCCCACCCGCTTCAGGGACTGAGGCCCGATGACTCCTTCGATTTATCTGACCTTCGCTCTCCTTTGACTATCTTTTTCCGGGGCCTCTCCCCTACGGTCGGCAATTTTCGAATCGCCGACCCATTCCACGTCGGACCAACTCGGCCCACGCCTAAATGCCAACGACAAATTTCCTGCTGAGATATTTCTCCCCCTTCCGTTCTTCCAGAAAAGACGACACGTCCTTCACTACCTTTCCACACTCAGTTTCAACTGCACAAGGGACAAAATTTCTTCCCTTTACGCCCGACTTCCCTCTGCCTTCTTTCTGACCATGTATTGGAAAAAGGCACCCTAGCCTGTTGGTAAAGATATTTTTTTTCAGCTCTTAAAGCGTAAGCCATCATAAACCGTCAGAATCTACCCAGCCATGATTTTTCCCTCGTTTTTTCCCAAATTGATACTTTTTCCTGTCACTATTGAAAAACACATTCCCTCAATTCTTGTATGACCGTCATTTTCTGCCCCATACCATAGTTAAAACAAAATTTCCAGACATATGGCACGAACTTGAACACTGGAACTCCAAATTTCCCAACCTCAAGGTAGACACTTCGTTCTTCCTGCCCATGGCGGAGACGAAACCCCTACAATGTGGCTCTTTAAACTTTTGACAGCCGTGACCTCCCATCCTCATTTTTATGTAGCAGGACATGGGTTTTTACAAGTTTGAAAGGTGTCCCTACACCGCAACTTTTTGAAAATTGCTGCGATTCCCCATCCAGCAAATATTGCAGATCTATCCCGAAACCCGTCTTGATGCCGAAACCTTTCTAATACGTCTTAAAAATTGACCCCCTCTTGCCTTAATTGTCATGAGGCCCCCCTTTCGTACTCTCGCCTTTTGTCAATTACTTAAACGGGGAAATCCGTTCCCTCAAAGAGGCAGAAGGTCTCCCTTATGCCATGGCAGTTTCTTCTCCCCCCCTCCAAGGGAACTACCTCTGTTTCTTATTCCCGGGTTTTAAAAACGTCCCCCCACTTCGGGATCCCATTTTTTCCTGCACCCACCTCTGTGGTTCCTCCCCAAAGTCACTCCTGTACAATTCTTTTCTGTCCTCACTCAACTCCCTACTTCAACCCTCAGTCTGATCTCGTTTTCCCGTGTTCTCTCCACAAGCCTCATAGCGACGAATCTCGTATGACACCTACTCCCAATCGCCCCATTTTTTTCAAAAAGTCAAAAAAAGGTCTTTTAAAACCCCTCCTACCCATCTTCCACCTCCTCATTTTACCTTCCCCCCGTCTCTGTACCGGGTTTCTCCCCCCTTAGGCTCTTTTTAAATATAGAGGTTCACCCCCCTCCTTGTCTGTCCCTTTCCCCCCTTTTTTCCCTCCCAAAGTTTCTTCCATTCTGCCACCCCCCAGTTTCTGCCTCTTCTGTCCCCTTCCATCTCTCCAGTTCCCCCCCCCCACCCTTTGCCCCCCCCAACCCTTGGTAAGTCCAAACTTTTCCAATCTTACTCTCCCCCCCCTACCTTTTTCCAATTTTGTCTCCCATACGCCCCGAATTCTGAAACACTTGAAGCAATCTCGAAATATTGCAGAGCCCAAAACCCACAAGGGACCGACCCAAACCCCTGCTCCTTCCTCCCTCTGCTCCATCTGCGCAACCCCTTTCTTCACAGGCACCGTTCCTTCACTCTTGAAACTTTTTCCACTCCCTCCCATGTGGACTTTTAAAACCCCCAGTCCGTGGGAACCCCTTCCCTGGGGATTTCAGGATTTTATCATTGCCAATCATGGCCATTTTTCAGTGGAAAAAACCGGCCCCCAGGGGAATCGGGGTGACTTCAGATGTTACTCTCCCCCGTTTTTTCCCCCTGTTTTGGGTTTGCTTTCAGAACCAAAAATTAAAAACCCCTTTCTGTTATCTCTCCCATCTCAGGCTTAAATTATTTATTTTTCAGATCCTTTTCCTGTTGGGACCTTAATGAAAGTGCCCCTTTTTCGCGCACTGAATATTCTGTACCTCACATTTGTTCATACTTCGCTGCATTACACAGCACCCGTACCCTTGCATAGGTGGTATACGCTCTTTTTCTTTATTTCTCTCCTTTTCGGGCATTATCTATTTCCCAATTTGCCTTTCTTTTTTCTCATTCCGCCACCATTCTGTTTTCTTGGGATTTTTAAGCCCACCATTCCTCTGGGGGGTCTCACTGTGATTCCCGTGGCATTCAGTTTGGGCTTTTTTTTGCCACCCACCCCCTCCCTGTTTTTTAAAAACGTACTCACAACCCTTTTGATCCCGACTCACACTCTCTCTTGCATCATCTCTCTTTTGCTCTTCCTCCTCCCCGCATTAACTTCACTTGGCTTTCTCCTGGGGCTTACATGACAGCGATCATTTCCCAATCTTCTTTCTTCCCCTTCATATCACCACCCTTCCATCCCACGCTGGCAAATTTTATCAGGCAAAATGGAACCTTTTCTCTACCTAACTGTTTTTTTTGGGGATTTTCCTTCTTCGTCCTCCATCGATGACTTTTACATCTCTTTTCGCCCTCCGTTTTTAAACCCCAGCTTCTCATTCATACCCCAAACTTCGGGGAGGGTTCTCAGAAATGCGGCCTTGGTGGGCTCCTGCTTTGCTCGGCGTAAGTTTAAAGCGCTGCATGGGCAGGGACCCGGGAAAAAAGAACCCAGAGAACTTCTTGATTTTAAGCAGAAGCGTGCGATTGCTGCCGGTCATCCGTGACGCAAACGCATTTGCTGGTGAGATTATGTCTCCACCATCAC